AGTTTATCACAAGTGCAGAAACATTTATGTTGCTAAGCCTTCTCTCTTTGTGATACTTAGAATTGTCACTAGGATTAAGAAACTGATATAATCTTGTTCATTTAGCTTCTGAGTCTCAATTTTCTGCCCTACAAAAATGGGGTCATTATTACCAAACTCAAAGGCAACTAAAAGTTGACATATTCAACACTGCTTACAGCACTAAATTAATCTCTCTCTCTCTTCCTCCCCCCTCCCTTCCCTCTTGTCTCTTCTCATCATTTCCTCTCCCTTCACTCACCTTTTCTTTCCCTCTCTCCTTGTCTCCTGACACATAACAGGAACTCAGTGAAAATAAGTTTTGTTTTCTTTATCAACATGATTAAAAGACACTGAATGGTCCATTGGAAGGCAAGTATACTTATTTTAAAAAGGGTTTTAATTTAGAATGAATATTCTGATAATATGCAAGGATAAAGACTAATGTCTACTTCTGAATAACACCTACTATAATAGTTTTAGTAAAACAATTGTTTGTAATTCTATCCACAAATATATTTATTAGAATAAGCTCTTGTCCTTTCCATTTTGGAAAATATTGATGAAGACTGACCTCCTGATAAGAAATACAGGTTATAATTCCCAAATAGTTTTGAAATTTAAGTACATTTCCTCTCACAGCCTGGTAACAATCATCATATTGAAGGACAGAGGTTCTTAATTCAAACAGATACACAGTTTTAGTTAATTATAGACAAGATAAAAAAAAGATCTTTAAGTATCTAATTTGCTAAAAGTTGGTCCTTGTTTCCAAGTTCATATTTAAGTATGTAACTCATAAATAATATACCTCGTATGATATTTTCTCAGGTCAAAAACTAAAACACTGTATCCATTCTAGAAAAATAAGCTCCTCTAGAAATGTCATTACTGTTCAGATTATTGATCCCATTCTGCTGTCAGAGCCAAAGTGTTTAGTAAGACTATTTCAGGGACCTGGACAGGACATTTTTATGGGCAATGAGACCAACAGATTACCCTGAGTTCAAATGAGAAGACCCAGTGGCCAAATCTATATCACTCTAACATTCTTCTGATGTGCAGCACAGATGGTGAGAAATGTTGATGAATGAGGCTGTCTCAGCAGCAGAATTATCTTACTAGTCCTGCCACACATTTCAGTTGAATGACCTATTAAACATGGCTGTCCCAAGGCAACTGGATAGGTTTATAACTACAGCTGTTAAATGGGACCCTCTAGGAAGTTCTGAATATAGATTCCCTTCTCATAGCCTTGACTTCTAATTTCTTTTTTCTTTTCTTTTTTTTTAAGATAGAAAGCAAGCACGCATGAGTGCATGAGTGGTAGGGAGGGGGAGAGGGAGAGAGAGACTCTTAAGCAGGCTCCACACCCAGTGCACAGCCAGATGCGGGGCTTAATTTCACAACCCTGAGATCATGACCTGAGCTGAAATCAAGAGTTGGACACTTAACTGACTGAGCCACCCAGGCACCACTTGACTTCTAATTTCTAAGAACCATCCTGAGTTGGGTCTGAGTTGGGCAGGGGAAGGAAGGAGCATAAAGGGAGATAGGGAGTATATATGCAAACAAAATAATCTCAAATTACTAAGAGAATATGAATAGAGAAGAATAATGAATATAGTCAATGATACTGTAATAGCATTGTATGGTGACAGATGGTAGGTACACTTGGGGTGAGCATAACAGAACCCATAGAGATACTAAATCACTAATCTGTACATATGAAACTAATGTAACATCGTGTGTCAACTATAGGAGTTATAGGGTGAATTGACTTTTTAGGAGGGAGCATTAAAATAAAAATGCTAACTTAAATTAGAATTATCTAGGATAATTTCTTTATATACTCAGGATCTGTGAAGAACTGGGAGTTTGCTATCAGACAACTCTTCACTGTTTCTATTTTATAGGAAACAGGCTAATAGGGAAAAGCACTGAGTTATGGTCCACAGTAATCGGGCTCTTGCACATATACCTTAACTATGTTATCCAAACTTTTGGGGTACCAGTTTCCTGACTTGTAAAATTAGAGTGAGTAGATGTCCTAAATACTCTCATAACTGTTATTTTTTGCCTTTCCGCTCACTACCCTAGATTTCCACTCTTATGAATAGGAATACTTTAAATTTACTGAAAAGTAACAGAACACAGCACTAAATGCTCAGTCTCTAGAATTACACACACTTATATTTAATGTTGGCTTCAACACCTACATCTATATAGCCTTCTATTACTCAATATAAATTAAGTCTTAGAGGCCTTGTCTATAAATTGGAGATAATAGTATTCAACATGAAGTTGTTCTTAGATTTACTTATTTTTTTATAGCACTTACTACCTTCTATCTAATTTACCATCTGTAAGGTCTATAAAGGTAGTGAATATTGTCTGTTTTATTCACTGATGTATCCCAAGCATCTTAACATATAGCAGCCAGTCAATATCTATCAAATGAATACATGAAACAATGCATATACAGAGTTTAGTAATTGGCAGAAAGCATTTGATAAATGATGCCATAAATGATCTTGATACAAAGAGTGTTATTTCACCATGAAGAAGTAGAAACAGAAGAAGCAGGAATGTTTCAAAGAGAAGATGAAGGGGACTGATGACCATACCATTACCAAATATCTTCAAGAGTACCACACGTTACTTTCAGAGACAAAAATATGAGCCAAGAGGTGGAAATTACAGGGAGACATTTTTTTTTTTTAATTTGGAGTAAGAAGACTTTTCTAACAAAACTCCTCTAAGATGAAATGAACTGGTGCTCAAGTAAATATTGAATTATTATTGGCCAATAAATGAAGGGATTAAGAAATCTAATTAAAGGTTATGAATCTATTTTTCTATGATTCAAATGATGTGGAGAGAACTTATAAATAGCATATACAAAATAAATTTTAAAATATATAAATAGGGGCACCTGGCTAGCTCAGTCATTAGCCTGTGTGACTTCTGATCTCAGGGTTGTAAGTTTGAGCCCCATGTTGGGTGTAGAGATTACTTAAAAAATAAAATTTTAATTTATACAGAGATATATATATATACAACATTATAAAAATTGTGTATGTATATGTTATATATATAAAATATTGAATTTTGGCCTTGTGGTACTGTTGGCAATAAAAAGATAGAGGAAAAATGGCAAATATAGTGAATACCTACCTATTTCCTTGTGTACATGTGATCAAAGAACATTTACTTGCTGACAAATCATATAGGCTGAAAAACAAATGCTTATTTGTCTTATTAACATTGGCGAAAGCAGCAGATAGCAGCTACAGAATCTCATACCCTACCAGAAAAACAGGACTGTTTAAAGCCAGCTTCTTTCTTTCATGTTCTTTTTACCCCAGTGGTAACACTGCACTTTGGAATTTAATACTGGAGTGGGAGCACTCCTGGGTTGTATGAAACTAATTGGTGCATCACTCTTGCCAACTAGGGATGATTTTAGACAAAATGTATGACAACAGTGATAAAGGAATCTTACTCAATATCACTTTTATGAAGGATAGTTGGCCTCATACTAAAATAGTCCCATCAATCTACTGTCATCAGGTCAGACAGAAAAGCATTAGGTACATAAAGTGGCTGTCATAAAATGTAGCCAAGCAGGAGCCAAGTCTGATCACAGAAGGTCAGTTAGGCATTTAGAAAATAAAGGAAGCATGTTTTCTTTAATGAGCCATCAAAAGTTATAACAAGTGAGTTAGCTTTCTATTTTGGACAGAAATATTGAGAAAGAAGCAGGGGTTCTGAAGGTTTTCTCTATTTTTAAATTGGCTGCCTACTAAGAATATGTAAAATAACAAAACTTTTTTAAGCTCTAGAATAATGAACTACATTCACATGGTCAAACTATGGGGTCATTTTACGAATTGTGATGGTTAATGTCATGTGACCACTTACTGGGCCATGGGGTTCCCAGATACTTGGCTAAACATTATTCTGAGTGCATCTATGAGGGTGTTTCTGGATGACATTAGCATTTGCATCAGTATACTAAGTAATGAAGATTGTTCTCCCTAATGTGGGTGGGCTTCATCCAATCTTTTGAAGACCTGAGTAGAACAAAAATGACTAAGTAAGAGGGAACTCTTCCTGCATGACTTCTTGAGCTGGGACATTGGTCTTTTCTGTCCTTCACACTTGAACCCAAACACTGGCTCTTCTTCCCCAAGCCTGTCAGCTTTCAGACCAGAACTATACCACTGGCTCTTCTGGGTGTATCTCTCATCTCATCTGTCTTTCTCTCTCTCTCTCTCTCTCTCACACACACACACACACGCACGCATGCACACACCATTATATGTTTCCCTAAGAGAACTCTAATATATGGATTCAACAGCATCAGCAGGGAATGAGTTGAGTTGTGCCAATCAAGTGCATTATCCAGATGATTAAAATCAATCCCAGTAGAAGTTAATGTTTTAGAAACTTGTCTGGTAACAGTGTGGATGATCAGGCAATGTAATAACACTTTTGTAATATAAATAATGAGTCAATTTTCCAATGTTTTAAAAAATTAAAGCAACTAAAACTAAAGCAACTCCTCACTTTCAAACTCAAAATTCTATGACTATATTATAAAACAAGTTTAGGTAGCCATTCTCAAAATCAATTTCAAATGCAACAGCAAAAAGTCTGAAAAATGCTTATTTCCCAAGGGAATTATGAAATGATCCAAGTATCTAAGGACCCATCTCATTTCCTTACAGTCATTTTTTCAAGACTTAAGTACTCATCATCTTCATGTGTTGATTCCTGTTATCATCATTAATCAGCACATGGCATATCTACTTATTTTCCATGATCATCTCCAGGCTCTGATGTTTTATGATACTTAAGTTCTACTTCTACCACATAGATTAAGTTTCCAAAGCATCTGTCCTTATGCACCTGAAGATACACTTTGATGCTGCCAAATTCCTGGTATTACCTTCATGTGAATTTTCTTTGTCACTCACCTGCCCAGAAGCAGAAATTCGCCTGCTAGACCCAGGCGCCTCATGGCCATCAGCAGACCTCTCACCGTCATGCCCTCACAGAAGCAGGCCACTACCCGGGCCTTGGGCAAGTGACTCCTGAGCTTCTTCAGCAGCTTATCAAAGCTCTGTTCCCCTGCGTTGCTATAGATTTTGTAAGAGTGAGCGATGCAAATTCCTTCTTTGGCTGACATATCTTTGAAAGCTTCCATCCCACTCTCTCCATAGTTGCCTGTGTGAAAACAGATAAGCAGAGAGGTAGTGAGATGGCAGTGCTGGGTACACTGCATCCAATTAAGAATGCAAAAGGCTGGGAGCATGAAGATCACTTGGTAGTGCTGAACTTGGAGCCTGAAGACCTGAATCAGTTTTTGCTCTTTCACTGACTTGTTCATTTTGGACAATTTACAACAAAACTACATTATACATATATGCATTGAACTTTAAATTGTGTTTTCACTGAGAGACAGAGAAAATAGTATAAAAAGCAGAAGCAATTCAGCTCCCCCTTTGACTTAAAAAGTTCATACTATCTAGTGTGAGATGATGGAAGATATTTATCTGCTGTATTTTCATTCTATCTCACTTCCCTTTGCTTCTTATTGTATGACCATCTCATCCCACCGGTTCAGATTCCTATATTTAAAGACACAATATATACACTTAATATGTAATAGATGCCATTGTACAGATATCACATAGAATATTATATTTTATAGAATATTATGCATATTATAATCTATTAGCAATCATAAGAATCAGTGGCTTTATCCCAACTGAAAATTCCATATCCTTGCTTGAGATTTGAGTCTTGTCACAGGTAAATGTATAAGCTTCAGACGAAATATTTGAAGTTTCATTCTGTACAGCTGTAGGGAAGTTAGTGATTTGGGGGAATAATTCCAAAGTCTTCTACAAATCTGGGGGGCTAAGGACTGATGGTGGTCCTTTAAATTAATGGAAATTGGTGATCAATACTGACAATCAACTGTATGCCAGGAAGTGTACCAAAACCTTTACAGATGTCATCTCATTTAATTCTCACGAGAATATACCGAGGTATGCATTATGACTTACATTCTGCAGATAAGAAAACAGATGAAGCAGTTAGGTTTACACTTGCCCAAAGTTACACACCCAGGAAATGGAATTCTGCACTACATTCTCAGATCAAAGAGTGTGGTTTCTGTTCCTTCCACTCGTGCATGGCTGACTTTTGGAAGACTCAGAAGCCCAATTATATCTACATTTCTTTTTCCTATTTAAGGGTCACGATGCTTCAATTTTAGGTATTTTTAGAGCCTCTTAAGGCTCTATAAATCATACCAGGCTCATTTTCTGAGTTTCCAAAAGATTAGGTGGGTAAGGGGGAATGATTTAAAGAATACAGGAGCCTACTAAAAGACAAGCAAGCTGTGGAGCATCTAAGGATGTAACCAGCCTCACAACCAACAAGACCTAGGAAAGGAATTTCATCAGGAGGAGATCTCCAATGATAAGGAAGTAAAAGGCATTTGGTTGCATTGGTTTCACTATATGACTCTAACAGAGATCACTTATAAATCAGTATACCCATATAACATTTGGATTTTTGAAGTCACTTCATACAGATTAGCTCACTGCTCCTTGCATCAACTCTGTGATAGAGGTAATATTATCTTCCATGCACAACTGATAAAACTGAAGTTTACATTTAGCAAGTAGGTGGCCAAGTCTTGGTTTGAACATATAACTTCTTACACCTGCCCCTGTGTATGTTCCACTATAGCACAGGTACCTTGCTGCAAATGAGATCCTCAGACTTTGAAGGTGGATTTTTATGTGGTTTTATCTTCCTGAACAAACTGTGAAGTGTAGAGCAGAGCAGGATGGCTTAAGTCCTAGCCAAAAAAACCTGATGGGCCAGCTGCTTCTTTCCTTTTTCTCTAGAAATAAAATGACAAGAAGCCTCTATGATGATGGCAAGTGGGCAATGTAGTTATTTTGCAATTAACAAAGTTTAAAGGACCCCCTCTGAAAAACATGCCCAGGGGCCTAAATTACTAGTTTTATACTAATCTGAGTAATCTATTATTCTCTGATTTGTTTTTAGCCAACTCTATTTTTCAGCTGACTGTCTTGCACTTAATGCTTTCATTAGTACTGAGGTATTTGCATAAATAATTTGAAATTAGGTACATAGTGATTGTGATGGCAATGATAAAAATTCTCAGTTTATTTGCAGTTATTTAAGAAAAAAATGACAAATTCATAATCTTTAGCACCTCTCCCAACAACTTTAATACTATTTTTTTATACAGTAAGTTATATGGAAGCAGCAGAGAGAGAACCTTGTTATTAGAGAGATCTGAGTTCTAATTCTGCTTGGATAGTCTCTCTAAATCTAGCTTTTTCACCTGAAAATCAGAGGTAACACTGCCTAATGCATGAGTATTTTGTATATTATATATGTTAAACATTTTTCTAGTTTAAACATTATAATAAATGCTTATATTATGTTATTTTTATAATTAATTATGCATACTATTATATAATATTTTATATAACATGTATAAACATTATATATAATAGATATTATAAAGTAATATATATGTTAACTATATAAAGTATCTGATAGGTAGACTGAACCCAATTAATTGTACCTATTGGCATTAGATATAGTGAAGCTGCTCTCTCCTAGAGCATCTAAAACAAATAATGGAGCAAAAGCTATTAATAATGAACATTGGATTAAAGAATGAACTTAAACTAGTTGGGGAAATATGATTTTCTCAGAACAAAGCCCAAGCAGTACTCTATAAAATTAAAACAGGAAACAGTTCTAATATATGTGTGACATAAAAATTCTGCAGAATAATTTTGATTTAATAAAAGCCACTATAAGCTGAGAATTAAAAATGGGAGCATGTATTCCATATATTCCAATAAAACTGGGAAGCCTGAATTCAGCATTGAGATTTTCAGTAGTTGATATAAAGACCGTATTCTGGAATTACACATTTAAAAATAAAAGAGAAACTATTAAAAAGTTCATAAGCTTCTCATAGGAAATGAAATAGATTTCAAGCAATGTATAGGATGAGAAAAAGCTGAGGAAACAAAGATTTATTTTTCCAAAAGGGAAACAAAGGTGATAGAGAAAGGAAGGTAGGTGTAAAATATGAAACTAGCCTGTGTCTTCATTTTAAGCAACTGGTAAAAGCAGGAAGGAATCCATCAGACACTCTTTTTTTAAATAGCAGAGGGCTGGTGATTTGGAATTACGAGAAGAAAATGTAATCAAGGCTTTCCTGGACTCTTAGCTCACACTATTTTGCAACAATGCAAATGCCAATTACTGATTTTCAACCTTATGAATCCACATAGGGACAAAGCAAAAAACTCATTATGCAATAGAAATAAATCTTATCAACCTTTACAAAAAAATTAAAGGAAAAGATGATAGGTTGAAGCAGGGAGAACTAGGATGTTAAAATCTTTTACGCACAATTTGGAAGTCAAGACATACACAGAAAACAAAGAAAGATGAATTATTTGAATCTAAAAAAATAGACTAAAATAGAATTATATTTAAGGGAATATACATGAATTAAGAGAAGTTTATTGTTCATAAATTAAAAAGTAGGCATTAAAAATGCATATATTCCTACTAAGAAATATGAAGGTAAAAAACAGGAAAAAAAAAAAACCCTAAAATGCACTTTTTACCCTTAAGGCCTTCTGTACTATTAGATTTTGAAAAATATGAAAATACAAGTTCGAATGAAAAAAATTTAATAACATACTTAAAAGTTATTGAAATCAGAAAGTAGACATGAACAATTTTAAATAGTTGCTTTCAGTAGTTCTATTTGACCTACATCATGTCTGTGGAGATCTGGAAGTATCTGCGTCCATCTGGGCCTACAAGGTACACATTGAAAACAAGATTGGTTAAAGAATAACTCTAAATCTTTCTTCTAACCTAAGAGAGATTGTTTATTTGAACTTTATGATTAAAGGCAGTGAACAATCGTTTAGTATGTAATGTATAATCAAAGGTAACTGCTCTTTCCAGATGGTACCAATTCAGTAGCAATAACTACTGTGTTATTGTAACTTAAACATACTTTCAAATAAAGGTAATAAAGTATAGGAACATAAATAGGAGATATATATATATATATATATACATATATATAGTAAATGAGAGATTTTTCTAGCAAAATATACATTCAAGATATGGTTCAAATTTATAAATTTTGTGTGTATTGGGAAAAATGATCATAAGAATCAGAAATTAATAGAATTATACTAAAAACACTCAAATACTTTTCTTTTCTTTGACATTTCTTTCTTTTTCTCATCAGACCATCATTATTCCTTCTGTTGGAGCTTATGCGGTCATGTATAACATCTTACCACCTATCTTTCATTTATACAAAACTTTACCAAACTTTATGTTTGGGAGTCTTATTTCTTACTGTGCCCTTCCATATGTCCCTTGGATGCCCCACGCATTCCCAGTTATTTACTTTTATTCATGATGCTCTTTCTACCCCGAATACCCTTTCCCCATGTCTCCATGTTGAAATCTTACCTATTTTTTTTCTGGTCCAACTCAAATGCCCAGACTAAACTTATTTAGGATGTAGACCACATCTCCATGGCACCACCCAGCAAATGCTTGTGGAACTAAACTGATCTACCCCACCATGCTTTTCAAGAATCTCCCTATTCATTTAATAGATATTAATGAATTAACTAAATACAGATATGAGGGTGCCTGGGTGGCTCAGTTGGTTACGCGACTGCCTTTGGCTCAGGTCATGATCCTGGAGTCCTGGGATCAAGTCCCACGTCAGGCTCCCTGCTCAGCAGGGAGTCTGCTTCTCCCTCTGACCCTCTTCCCTCTCGTGCTCTCTATCTCTCATTCTCTCTCTCTCAAATAAATAAATTCTTAAAAAAAAATAAATACAGATATGATACTAGGCACATGGTAGACTCTAGATATTTACATATTTTAGCTATTGATCTATTTTATAATATTGAAGAGATCATTTTTGTTACTTGTAATTGTTAAAGAAGTTTATAATTGCAGTTCCCTCAACTTTATGACAAGGCTGATCACACTGATGATTTTTTTGATACTGAGAATTTTGTTAAAAATCCAATCCAAGATAATAAATTTGTTAATATGTGATAAAACACATATAACCCACTTCACATATATGTTTTATCATGAGATTTCTAAGGAGAGTTCCTCAAGTCAGATAATGAGTTACAGTGCTAATTAGGTATTATATTGTATTAGGCTCAATTTAAAATACATATTCTGTATTCTTTTATGTAAATATATTTATATGTTACATGCTATATATACTTACTTATATTTTGGATATATTATATACCCTGC